TTTTGGTGCTAAAAACAAAAAAGCTGTCCATTTTTGAGCAATTTTTACTCTATTTTTATTTTCTTTTTTAGTGAAAGATTTGAAATTAATTAGTCACTAAAGATGAATATAAAACTACTTGATTAATAAGATGGTAAATTTTTGTCGTTGTCGTTTTTTTTTTATCGGTTATCTTCTGTAAAAGAATATCCAAAACTGTAGTGCAAAAAGACAGAAACCGGGTGCAATGAACAACAAAATTAGTTACATCAAAAAATTGCAAATATAATTTAAACAGGTTTCTGGTGATCGAAAACTGCTAAACTGAAAATATTCTTATACCTTAATTTTTTCCCTATTAACAACGTCTCTTTCTCTCATTCTTCTCAACTCATCTTCTTTTTCTTTTCTAGCACTTCATTCTTGATCCTTTCATAAACTTTCACCTTAACTCAGTCATAGCTGCTATTTGCTGCCTTACCCAGTACAGTGGAATTACTAATTCTCTTAAAACGACCTTTTGGCTTAGTCAAAACCACTACGTTCCTCGGCACAAAGTTAATTAAAGCAAATTTCTAAAAAAATGTAAACTTTTTAATTATTATTTTTTTTTTTTGAAAAATATAAATTTATTATGCCTGTAGATTTCCCTTAATAACTTCAATTATCACACATAACTGGAGTAGTTCTGGGAGACTTTGTGAAAAGCCTGATAAAATTTTTGCAAGAAAAAATTGAGAAAAAATTATGATAGAAGAAAAAATCGAACCAATAAAAATAAAATTAGGTTAAATAAGGTTTTTGCCATTGAAGTAGAAATTGAAAAAGTAATTTGTTCACATATACCAACCACTTTTCCCCAATTTCACAAAAACAACCATTTACAATCATTTGAACAGCAATAAGTTGACAATTGAGACTAACCTTTGACCTTCAAGACAGCAGACAGTTATTTGAAAAAGCAAGCAGAATAAATCAAAATTTCTGATTTAAATGATAAAAACGAAGAAAACAAACGATGATGTTTGATGTATTGACCAAACTAGACTGATGTGCAATCTCCAGCGTCAGATTCATGAAAAACTTTTTATAAAAATATCTAGTTTCAAGATTTGTTGAAAAAAGTTAGCTTCAGTCAGTAAGAACTGCATAATTTTTCTTTCCCATGATACATTAATCCTTTATTCAACAAAGAGATACATCAGATGATCACCGATTACCCGACATCACAAGACTTCTATTTGCCGTTAACAACAGCGTATAGCTTACATAGTAAACAATAAGTTTTACTCCTGCCGAAGAGCAACAGTTCTTGCAGTATCGGTCTTCTGATTTGTGGCCACTATCCAATGCACGTAGGACTTATCACAACGACTTTCCATATTTATCCACTGAACAGACTCTCGTGGCAGCAGTTAATCCATCCTTTATTTTGAATTTACTTTCGTTCTCATTAGGGAAAGTGAAATTAACCTTAATTACCAACTCCGCTCAACACCGCTCATATCCAATTAAAATTAAATTTCTAAAACTTTTCATATACCTCTGATAACTGCACATCTCCGCGTAATAACACTAAAAGACGCTAAAAGCTATTGTTTATGTCGAGAAATTTTGAACTGCAACAATTAAAGAAGCAGTTTTAAGAAATGTTTTGTTACTTTAGTTACACTAATCTTCAAATCATCGAAAAGAACTTTTAAACCGTATGAAGAATTACTGACTGAAAAGAATACTCGTGAATCGATAGTTTACCTAGAATGAGACAGCTATCTGTATTCCTCCAAAAAATTTTACCAATCATAAATTCAAAAAACGTTTTGAATCTGTTTGTTATGACCATCTACTCTTTCAATTTTGAATGCCTCTTCTGCTTTCTGTTAAAACAACATTTGCAACTGTACAATCACTGTTTCATCGTATTATATATCAGGAGCCTTATCATGGGTAACAAAAATTCTCTAGAGACTTGAAGATCAATTTGTATTTTCACATTAGGATCGACATCTTCAACAATTACTAATGAAAACAAAATGTTCATTAAATTAGATTTAATAATATCAATAAAAAGCAACTGAATTTTCAACTTTGAAAGTAGGGGAAACGATTACACAGGATTTTAAGCAAAAAAAAAGTAACTGTAAAAAAAAAGAAATTTTTGTTCCATAAATTAAACTTTAACCACGTAAACCTTCTGTCCAAATTCAAAATCATATATCCTATCAAAAAATCCTGCAGCGCTTGAATATAAATAATAGAGTAAACTAGATAGACTAATAAATAACACACGAAATCAACACTAAGCAGAGGAATTTTTTCAGACTGTTCGTATTTAAACCAACTCAATTTTTTAATTGTAATAACTAATAAATATTTCTTAACACAACTATTCTTTTAGTCTTGTCATAACAATTAAGCTTTCAAAAAAATTCTTTCACGATCAAATTTAAAAAGAACCATTGACTGGCGAACAATTTTCAGCGCAATTATTAGTCCATGGCCAACAAATAAGTGTATATCCGTACAACAACTACTATAATCCAGCAACTACCTACTGGAACTCCTACTACTCAGCTGCTCGACAAGACAATTCTTACTATTCTGCCCGTCAACCAGCCCAACCCGTTCAATATGTGCAAACGCAATATTACTACTACCCCCAACAACCACCCCAATATACCTTTACCCAAACTTATGTACCTGAAACGTCATCAAGAACGATAACTACAGAACTGAAGATCACCAGACCAACAGTACCACATCGAGTACAAACACCGGCTGCCCAACCTGAACAAACCATTTATATACAAACTAACGTTCCAAATCAAGCATACCAAGTTAGCTAAATTAAAACA